GTGGGATACAGTCATTAATATATCAAAGAAATTTATTTGTAAATTTTTTACAATTTTGATCCATACTATTTTCAGCATTGATTATCGATTTCCAATCAAAAGTAGCAATGAGCTCGTTACATTTGTGAAAATCGGCATTTCGATAGTCCCAAATCATTCTTTTATATAAATAGTATTATTTTTTGACCTAGTGAGATTATTCAAGAATATAATAGTGCCATTATGACCACTGTACTTACGATCTATTTGTATTACATGGGAATCGTAGACATCACGTACGTGAATCTGATACTAAAATAGGATCTAACAAGGACTGGCGTGTGGCACAAAATCTGGTTTGTTCGTTTATAACATTTGTTAGTCCATTTAGTCTCATAATGGCTTTTCGATATCTTAAATAGAGAGTGGGGCTATCAGTTTTGACCTCTGCTCACAGGTTTTCATAGTTTGATAATGTATGCAAACGCTATATTTTAATTGGTAAGTCAATGCAATTAGAATGCTTAATTGATAGAGAGAGACCCTTTTCACACAAAAAAGTATATTTTTTACAACGTTAAATATATAACGCCTTTAATGTATTAGGATATTGCATGAGTTATCGACAACAGAAGGGTGACAGCCGTGTGTCCATACATAAACAACGAACATACTAAACGGATTTAATTATATTAAAAACGCAAAATATCATATCTTCGTCTTCAGACTTGCTATGCTCGGCTAAACATTTTCGTGCGACGAAATTCCTGGATCGACTCGCGATTCCACTTTATCATGTTTATATTAAAAATTCATAAATCTTCAATTTTTTCAACTAGTTCAGAATAATTCTGCGATTTTACGATTTCGTCTCCTCTGTTGTTTTTGAGCTGTGCTATCATCAGACTCGTCTTCACTATCTGTCGGCATTCTGCTTTGCTTTTCTTTCTGTTTCTTCTCCTTCTGTTTCCTGTCAAAGTTGTCAGTGTTCCATTCATCTTTTGGAGATGGTGTTCTACGTCGACGGTCCCGAGACCTTGTTCTATGTCTTTTGGGAGATGGTGTTCTTCGTCGACGGTCCCGAGATCGTGTTCTTGGTCTGTCTTTGGAACGTTCGCGTTTCCTTGGTCTTTCACGAGATCTGTCACGAGATCGTTCTCTGGGAGTGTAATTTTCATCTTCTGATTCTGACATAAGCCCGCTGTCCTTTGTTCGTCCACGTTTTGGTTTTCTGTAAAATGAATAATAGGATATGTTTATTCAATTTATTTTACAATGTAAAAGTAATTGTATTTGGTAAAGCCAATGCAGCTGTAGATTTACAATGGAGAATGCTATTTTTTTTTTGCCGTTTATTTTGCACGTCATTGGCGGTTAACGGAAAAACGGAAGAACTAATTCTCAAAGATGATCCACAATTTTCAAGGAAGAATTTTGTTAGTTTTAAGTATATATTCAAAGTCAACTAAGAAGGTGAAAGGCACTTCTTGGTATTGAGAATTTTTGTGTGCTAAAACTATTGATTTAAATTTCGTGGTTGAAAAGTTTTTCATGAAAACAAACAAAATTACCACCGCCACGTTGTCAGCGAGCATTAAGATTATTTCTAATTGAGTTTTTTGCGTTTTTTTTTTAAATTTTGAAAAGAAAATTTCTTTAGTGAAACATTTAAAAGTTCAATTGGTGATTGTGTCTTTTTGTCTATGTTTATCTGTCCATTCAAGTCTTTTAATTATTTTTTGGTCGCCCCATTGGAATCTTTCTTATAAAAAAGTACAGCACGACTAATTTTGGCTTAAACGGTAAATAAATTAAAAAAAGTCTAGTTTTTAAGAAACTTATTTGAGGCATACAGCGTTCGTACGTATATCCTTATTTTTATAGTAGTGTTTTACAAGCTGTCGCATCTACAAATATTGAAGCAAATGTTCAAAATACTCAGTGTTTTTTTTTAAACTTGTCTTACATATTTACTATAGCAAACTTCTTAAATTTATTGTAAACTCAAGAGTGCATACAATGAAATGTCTACTTTACTGACCATGATTGATTATATGCTGAAAGTGTTTTTTTTTCTATGTGCCTATATATTTTCAAAGATCCATGACATTGAGGTCAAGGTCAGATAAAACCTGTCAGACTAACATGTACAACTTACAATTACTCCATACACTAAATATATTTGACATATTGCTTATGGTATCTAAGAAACAGACCAAACAATGAAAATGAGATCAAGGTCAGATGATACATGCCAAACAGACATGTACACCTTAGAATCATTCCAATCACTAATTGTTTATAGTATACCGGTATACGAAACACTCTTAACCAGGAATGCTATAATTAAAGATTGACCGATGAACAATGAAAGTTAGATCAAGGTCAGATAAACCCTGCCAGACAGACATGTACACCATACACCAAATATAATTGCCATATTGCTTATAGTATACGATACGAGGACCAAACCATGAAAACCTAATATTGACAAATGAACCCAGATAATGAGGTCAATGTTAAATACCTGCCAGACAGATATGCACACCGTATGATCATTCCACACACCAAATATAGTTGACATATTGCTTATAGTATTTGAAAAAAAACCAGACCAAAACACAAAAACTTTAACATTGACCAATTAATCATGAAAATTTGGTCATTTGGTGTTCAACGTCCAGTGGCAAATCTTATATGCATATCAGGACGAGGACATTTTAATGTGATATAAATATGAACCCTACTACACTCCAAGTCTGATTTTTAACATGACAGATCACAAAGTAACAGCCCACAGACATGTCACCCTACCTGAGCATATTATCCCGACTGCTAGCCGACCAATATTTGCTCTAACACCTTAATACTGCATGTTAAGCAAAATAGCAGCAAATCTTAGTTTTTAAGTCATTGGTTTGGCCCGGCCATGGATCGAACCACAAACTCCCGCATTGAGCGAGAATGCTACCACGAGACCACCAAGGCGTTTTATTCATTTGAACATTTGATTGATTGATTGGTTTTTGATTGCTAAACGTCCTTGACAATTTGAAGAATCTGGCTAATAGATAAATAATGTGTAGTAGAATCTGAATATAACTAGCGACACACAGGGTTAATCTTAATTTAAGTTACCCTTTTAAACCGAGCTCATATAAATGTCACAAATAATATCCAAAAATTGTAAAAAAATGATATTCAGGGACAATAACTCCAAAACAGATAGACCTATTTTCTCCAATATTCAGGATAGATACATCTTGTTTTGCTGACCCTTTTATCATTTTACACTATAAAGCAAGCACCTAGTATTCAGAATAACAGCAAATAACTGACAACAATTGGAAAATAAATTCGATATTTCAGGGGCAATATCTCCAAAACAGTGATTACGATTTTTCTCTTATTTTAAGGGTGGATGCATCTTGTTGTGCTGATCATTTTTGCTATTAACACTTTTAACCTAGCTCCTTTAGTTTCAAAATTAAGTCAAAACTCTGAAAATTGGTAAAACTTACATTTCAGGAGGACTTACTCCATATAATGTCTACAGATTTTTCTGAAATTTTTAGATATTGAACATGCCATGTTAATCATTCCATAATAGTTTTTTGAGACAATGGCCAAGATATGCCTAAAAGTTTAAAAAAAACAACATTTTAGGGATAATTACTCCAAAACGGATAGAATTTTGTAACATTTTCAGGGTAGCTTGTTGTGCTGACCATCTTTACTCTGCTACTAGTTTTTCCTTTGGGACAAACATAGAGGGATGTGATATGATTGCCCATGAGACCAGGTGTCCATCAGAGACCAAAAAGACGTGGACGAAAAACAAGTGAAATTTGAATGTGTTTTTGATTTGGTGTGCTTCAACAATGTTATTTTATAGAGAAATGATTAGTTTTAAATCATTTATTTTACTTGTTTTTTATAGGCTTCATATTTTTAGCAAATATTGGGGTCTGTCAAGCACAATCATGGCGCTTTAGAATGTTCTGGTATATGATTTTTTTTGTGTAAAATCTAACCTCCCTTGGTGTGGCAGATCACAAATGATTTGGATGTATCGAGTCTGTAATGCTTGGCCTCTTACAGACTTCTCCTATGACATTTGTTTGCTTAACATCCAGTTGAAAATTCTTTATATACATGTATACACAAGACGACAACATGCAAATACAATTGCAAGTTTTGCCTAATTCTGCACACTTATGAACTTGGACATTAAATTTAACCAAGGTCAATTAAGAATCAAATCTAGGTCATAGTGACCAAATTTTGTCATGATGCTGGCTTATTCATAAATATACATTTCTACAAAAGGTTAGATGCAGTTCCCAACAAAAATCAATGAAGCATAAAATGTAGGTTAATGTCTTACTTTTGCCTTGATGCTGACCTACCCCCTAAAAATGTGATATTCACACAAGTTCATTTAAGCATGGCATGTAGGTCACAGTGACCTATCCATAAAATGAATATAATTACAAGTTTAGAAATCCTATGACTTATAGTTACATTGATAGATATGACCTCAGACTTCATCAAAGTCAATGCAGCATTAATTGTAGGTCACTGAGCTACTTTTGCCAAGATACTGAACAATCCCAAAAAAGGGATATCTATACAAACAAAATAAGACTTCTTTAAAAGGACTAAAAATAAGTCATAGTTCTGCTTAGTGGACTTTCAGGGTTGAAGAGCCAAACATTTTGATTGCCACTGTATTGCCAGACATTAGAAGTCCAGTCTACTGTGTTTTCTCTCATATGTCAGTGCTTTTTGTCATTTTATGCTGATGGCAGATCATTGATAGTATCTGTTACATTTTTTGAAAACTTTTTTAGGCTCAGTGAGATTAAGAGAGCTTGACAGTTGACACCCTATGTAGACTCTTGTCTATTGTTCAAAACCCTTTGTTGACCTCTAGACTGAAGTCTTATGATTTTTTTGTGTCAGTGGGTTGTCATCTCACTGATGTATATCTCTTTGTAATTATATTTCAACATTAAAAATCAAGTTTCTTCTTTATTTAATAGTACTACAATATATAAACCTCATTATAAAAGTACTACAGTGAAGATTAACAAAGTGACAAGGTTTCTTTTCTATAAATGCATTAATAAATAATATAACAATAAAAAAAAAGATACATTAAAATTGGACATTTTAAGGACGGTTGAAGGTTAGTATCACAATTTTCAAAACAACTATTTATTTCAAGGCATTTCAATTATTGGAATGCATAAAATGTTCAAATATATATTTATCACAGTTTAGCTTACTTGTATCAACATAAAAAAGAATAAAATAAATGTCTGAACCAAATTGGAAAAATAAAAAGGACACAGATCAGTGTGGATAGTAATTGGTTGATAAGTGTTAGTGTGTTTGACTGTGTTTTCTGAGCTTTTTCTATGTCTTTCTAATATGTTTCTATGTGGATACGTTCCACAATGACAGCCATCCTTTTTAATAAGTAAAACATTTCAGATGGAAACAAATTACTAGAATGGATCAATTCAGATAATGTGAAAAGGACTGTTACATGCATGTTCCTGAATGTTATTACTAAAACTATACAAGGCACAAGATAATGGTTACAAAAATTATGAAAAATGAAAGGTGAAATGAATGATTACTTTATCAAGGTACAGGCGCAGATCCAGCCAATTTTGAAAAAGGAGTCAGGGGTTCAAACCCATAGAACACTATGAAACATTCAAATAATTGAAAAAAAATTGAACACCCCTCCAGGATCCGCCAATGAGGTCAAATGTAGCACTGTTTAGTAGTCAAAATCTGTTCATGAAATCCTTTTCTAAATCCTTTAAACAATTAACTATTCAAAAGAAAAAGAAAAAAATCAAATATTTTAATTTTCTGCTCCTCACTATTGGATCAATAGTGAACTTTAAACTAAAAATAGGCTATTATAAAGTATCAAATGTTATATTATGACTTGCAAAATACCTGTGAGGAGGACTGGAAGTGACAGAGAAGTCTATCATTTTCATGTATTTTTTTTGGATTCCAAAAGCTTTTTTTTATCTATGTAAAAATTAATTTAACTTGAACAAACTTAATATCACATTACTGTATACTAATAATCAGTGAACTTTTTACTGGGATGGCCAAATCAAACCACATTTGCTATTTGTACTCCAATTGTCTTTGTAAAGTCATAGTTGCCATATTGGTTTGATATAGGCATCATTGGATAAAGTTTACAACTAAAACAATCTAGGAATGTTCTGGCAATTTGTTAAAATTTGCCTATGATTTTCATTAGAATTTTAAGAAGATTAAGGTACCTAATGACACAGAAATCAGATGCAAAGTGATGATCTCAGAGGTATAAAAAAAAGATGAACATTCATTAATTCATTTCAAGAACAAAAAATGTATATAGGTTGATAAAAACTTAATAACACTTCCCTTTTATTCTCAAAATAATAATCATCCATCACCAATTCTAAAATGATGATCCATGCAATAAAATCATGGTTGTCCATTTTCTTCACATACACACATTCATATTGTATTTATGTATAACAATCTTCATAACTATAATGAATGGTTTACAATACAGTACAGATACAAACAAGGAATTGTTCTGAAAATATTTACTCCCCTACTTTCCCAATAAAGTGAAATCTGTGGGGTATAAAAATAAAGTTTGATTTCAAATTGGTGGTGGGAAATGGGTTTATCTTTTTACTCTTGAAATAATTTTCAGATCCATAATCATTACATTGACAGAAATATGGCAACAAGTTTGTCTTAAACTGATGTTTGACTGATATTTCTAAACATGAAAATGTGGTATTAGAGGATAACATGATTATTCAAGCATTTTCTAACAGAAAAATATATTGTTATTACAAATGTTTCAAATTTAAATATCATTAAAATGAAAGTATTTGATCTTCCAGGCAGATTTGCAGGACAAATTGGTATTGTGCCAAAAATACAAAAAAAACTGAAAAGAACTTAAATGGTGGTATCTTATACAATTTATATATCAAACAGTTCCTGTAGGTGGTGGTTTTGCTGGCCTTAAGGTACCAGTATTTTCTGTTTCCAGTTGCTTTCGAGAACGAATTTGCCATAGAATATACATAAGTTTTGACTTCCATCGTAACCATCTGAAGAGAAACAAAAAAATAAGCTATAATGCACTCAAGAATTAACATAATAAAATTAAGGAATATCATTCTATATTTATCCTTTTCTGTTAATTTGAAAGACATTTGTTCAGGTTTTTAAGGATCGTTTTACATTATATTTACTTTTTTTGAAAAAAGTTCTCTTCTGAAAAAGGGATAAATTGAACATGTATGTTATTCTCAATCAAACATAGTACATGTAACAAACAAAAAAATATATAATCATAATGCAATTCAGGGTAGATAATAACAAGTGAGGGAAATTTAAGCTTTAAGTAAATTTATAACTTTTCACATGTTATGATTTTTGTGAAGTCAGCATTTTATTAAGTTTTTTGATGATTCCATCTCAATCATAAAGTAGACATATTATAATTGTCATATTAAACTAATTTATACAGATTTAATTTCTGACTTAATATTTTGTAAATTTTAAACAAATGGTTAAATTTATACAATGCAATGTTCATAATAGCACTAAATATACACATGCATAATAAAGAGTTTACTTTTGATATGAAAGTATCTAGAATACATTCAGGATTCAGGCAGAAATAAAACACAAAATATCTCTGCAATAGCAGTAAGTTATTCAAGTTTAAATTTTGTGCCAAGAGCAGATTTTGACAAAAACACCTTAACAGGACCAAAATTAACACAAAACTCGGCTCTGAAATCAAAGGGTGATCTTCAATTTACAAATAATTTAAATTACAAGTTTGGTTTATTTAGTAACTATTTCTGTAATCAGATTCCAAAGTATGCATATCTTAAAATGAACAAAATAAACAAAACATTAGAATTTTTGTTACAAAGTAAAGAAAAAGAAAAAAAGAAACTAATGAAGATAGTATTCTTGAGTAGAAAGAAGATGAGTACCAGTAAGTATTTACAGATAGAATATAAATAAAATCTAATACAAAATTCTGAAATTTAAAAATAGTAAATAAAAGAGAATGAATAACAATAGTTCTCTACAAATTATATGTATACATCATACATATATCTACAAACAACATAAACATTAACAAAGGTAAAGAAAAAACATACTGACAAAGGATTAGTTTACATTTTTACTCATTTAAAATAAACTCTCTCAGTCATTTGATGACCAACCACGTTAACACCATTTACCTAGTCCAAATAATTATGACGTCTTGAAAGGCTATTATATTTTTTTTCTTTGACGCCTTACATCTAGTAAGGCGTCAAAGAAAAAAATATAATAGCCTTTCAAGACGTCATAACTATTTGGACTACCATTTACCAAGAGAAATGGTAACAAAATGTTCATGACTAAATTTGATGCATGGTACAGCTTTAGCTGATATTTACAGGAAATTTTTGTAGAGCTATGCAAGTTTCAAAATTATTTCCAAAAACATGTATTCCAATACAGATATAATCTCCTTTATCATTAGAATTTGTCAGTATGTTTTTGAATAATGCACTCTGAAATAAAGTATCAGAAGTTACGTTGAAAGTCATGTTACCATGGTTTCCTAATATGTCTTTTTCCTTCTGTAAATTCAACAGAAACTATTCAATAGACTAGCATAATAATTTGAAATATTAACTGATTCCTTTATGATGTAAAAAAATTGAAATCAGAATTTTGTACTGGGCAAAAAGAAAGAAATATTTCAAGGTCATTTCCCATTTCAATAATTAGTTAAGGTTTTGGAACACATAAAATCTGAGAAAACTATCCCAAATAATCAAATAAACATAAACTGTAAATTCAGAATTTTCTGTGTACATTTATCATTGTGATTATTGACAATGTACAAAATGAGAAATTTATTATTAAAATTTCAGGAGATGCTGTAAACAAATACCCAGTAATGCTTTCAAAATTTAAAAATGTGAGTTTTCATATTTTGAAAAAACTATCCTGTAGCAATTTTGCAATAATAAAAACATTGCAAAAATTTCTGATTTTACAGTAATTCATCCAAGGAACATTTATCTATCAACTGTATTAAGTGAAAGAATTGTGGCAGGAACAACTAAAAGATCTATGTAGTTGCAAGTCAACAAAAGCATTTTTAAGTGAACCAGACCATACTGTACATGGCCCACTAACAGATGATTGAAGGACACTTTCCCTCAATAGGTGTTTTGTAATTACCACTAGGGGGTGTTTAACGACCTTGACTACCCATGAGGGTCTCTCACGGTCAGTATTGTAATTAGTGAAAATACAAAGAGACATTTATACAACACAAAATTCATGCTTCAGTTTGTTTATCTGACAACATTTAATTTACATGCATAAACAGGAACAGTAAATCATGCAAGAAGGAACATCAATTAATGTACAACGTTTACCTGTCTTTGTTAGCTAGTTGAGCAAACAACAGAATTATTTTTAATATTTAAAAGTTGTTTCCAAATGATAGCATATGAAAGACACATATTCAGTAACTGTTTTAATATATTTTCAAATGTGAATTAAGGACCAATTAACTATCATGATAAATAAATACTAGATGGTTGCTGATATTTGCTTTCTGATGGTTTTATTAATTTTTTTCTAAATCAATCGAAGTTTACTGTAAATTTGCAGTTGTAAAATTCACTCTACATTCAGAATATCTTAATATATTATAAGATTGAATCCATACACAATATATTTTGTCGATGGATGGATTGATGGATGAATAAATGGAGGGATGGAGGGAGGGAAGGAGCAATACTCAGCAACCAGGGGGTAAACTTATGCTGCAATCTTCCTCAACTTCAGAGACGTTCTAGCTCCAATGAAACAATGAGGGAACGATATTTAACCCACTCTGATGAACATTCAGATATCTTGCATGATAAATTAAAGAATCAGCATATACCGGTATATAAGTTTGATCTGGCTCAATGATGGATGGATTGATGTTAAACATCCAGTGACAAATCAAATGCATATTCAGAACAAGAAGATAACAATGGGATATGAGTATAAACCCTGCTTTGTACTAGACTGACACATTGAGCCTTATTTTTAACATGCTAGCTCCCAAGGAAGACATTTCACCCTACCCTGACACATTATTCTAACTTTAAGCTGACCATTTTTTTCTCTTACTCCTTAATGCGGCAGGCTTAGTGCAGAAGCAGCAAATAACAATTTTCAAGTCTTTGGTTTGACTAGGCTGGGGTTCAAATCCATGACCTCCCACCTTGAGGCGAACACACTACCATGTGACAACTGAGGTAGTTCTGGCTCCATGCATGAAGCTAGAGATCAAACATCAAACCAAAGTAAAGCATGCATTTAAATCATTAAAATTATCAAGGTGAATGAACACACTGTAATATTTTGACTTTTTAACAGAAAATGCTGATTGACTGATCAATGCTTTCTTAATGTCCTGTGGGAAATTTTACATGCAATGTCATATTCATGGCAAGAACAAATTAACAATAAATCCATTGGTAATGTTGTGCAAACTGGGATGGGGATGATAGATACACTGCCATTTGAAAATGAGGCTACGTTGGTTAGAGGCAGCAATTTTCCAAGCAACAGGCTACCTACATACATTCAGCTATAGATGTTGTGTAGGTGATTTGTGTGTCTGTGCAGGACATACATGGAGACATGTGTTCAGTGATTTTTTTGTGCATGTTCAGTGGAATGGTTAACAATATGGTTACCAATATATCATTTTTAATCATTTTCATCATCACTGAAAAAAATATGAATATTGTCCATCAACACACTACATGTATCAATATTCAAAATAATGTATTTTATACATAGATAACATACCATTTACCTACCTTATTGTTTCAAATTAGTTTTGTTGTCATTTCAAAATCTAATTCTTTACAGATGAATTTCATTTTTGACATTTTTAGCATTAAACAAACATTAATTGATTAGAATGAAAAAAAAATCCATAATGTTAACAAAGGGAGACAAGTCATTATCAATATCACATATAAAGTATAACTGTATCAATATCTGAGCTAAAATACAACATTCCTACAAGTAATGATGCATCCTTATCATTCTGTATCTGATTATAAGATGACCTGGATGAAAAAGCACCATAAAAGTTTGTCATATATTTTATAACATTCATCATTTACTAACAATTGATAAAGAATGAAATAATATTATCTTTTTAACTGCCATTTTAGTATAGTACTAATATAGCCAATCACTGTATGAGTGAGAATGAAATCACATTTTGAAAATAAATTAGTATTTTGATATGACAGACTTCCTTGAGTGATTTTCCAAACAATGTAACATTTGCATGATTTGTGCCATGTACATCCCATCAATCAAAAAACAAAATTAATACTTAGAACAACCCCTCTCCCCCCAAAAAACAACAAAACACATGTACACAAACAAATAATGCCAACTACAGTAGTATACCACCCAATACTACCCAAAATATTAAAATGTTTACACCAAAATAAATCAAGAACAACAACTGACTAATTTGCATAATTCAATCATTTTCTTACTAAAATTATCATTATTAGAAATGTAAATGTGGCCGTTGCTATTATGCATTTCACGACTTTCTCTTGCATTATTTTTTTTAATATACTTAGCTGGCATTTTACTAGTGCATCATATCTAGACAATAAACAAAATCTGGTGCATACATAAAACATACATGTGCTACAAAATGAAATAAACAGTGCCATTAGTAAAATAAAAACAAACAGAAAACGGAATCCTGTAACTCCAAAACATTCCATCATTATAAAGCTGGTGTCTTTGGTGTGATCGCAAAATAAAAATAATTTTACAATAAATAAAACCTATTAGGATTTTGTAACATCTTATGCAGTTACTGGCTTTTGCCAAAAAAATATGCAGTAACTGAATTTGTAACAAATTAAGCAGATACTGGCTTCTGTAACAAATTAAGCAGTTACTGGCTTTTGTAACATATTGTGCATTAACTGGCATTGGTAACAAATTATGCTGTTACTAGCTTTTGTAACAAATTATGCAGTAACTGGCTTTTGTAATAAACTATGCAGTAACTGACTTTTGTAACATATTATGCAGTTACTGGCTTTTGTAACATATTATGCAGTTACTGAATTTTGTAACATATAATCCAGTAACTGCAGGCTTCTGGTTGACTTTCAACCATAATCATGTTCAATATCCTCCTGAAACCATTCTAAATGTTTTATAATTTATCTCAAATGATTACTTATAAAATTACATTATTTTTTTCTTTTAAAAATGTGTCCTGGGCTCAATGATAAGGGTATCTTCCTATCCATTGCAAGTTGATTTATATTGCTGTGTGTGCATATCAAAAAATAAAAAAACAATTAAAATTTTGAAGGAATTGTTGATTAATATTGCAGCAGTTAAGATACAAACAAAGAACCCTCATTTTGAAATTTAGTCAAGGAAAAAGTAACAAAGTTCCGATATATGCAGGAAATGGTTAGGATGAATAATGAACCTTGAAGTATTAAGGTGTGTATATGGAAACATTTTTAAGAATCTGTTTAAACAGTAGAACAACTTACTGTGCAAGTTAACATTGGTGGATGAACACACAAGACAACAGCATAGCAATTTATATTGCCCCCTTCAAACTCTGTTGGGCTAGCAAAACAAACAATGCAAATACACTATCAATGTTGCTGTCTTATCCCTTAAAATAATCAAAAATGTAAAGTATCCTTACTTTCAAAACGTCTGTTATTTTCAAGTTGTTTTGCAAATATACAAAAGCATACCATGTAACTGCACAGATGATCAAAATCCTGTCAATCTAGGTTTTATTCTTTTGCTATGATGACTTGACAAATCACAATACTACTGGCTATGCAGGCAATGGGGACTTACCTATAAGCATTAGCAACACTGTGTCTATTGACATCAGGCGTGTCATCGCTCCGTCTATTGGGATCTTTGACAAAATTTCGAGGTAGGGGTTTTTTCACTAGCGGTTCTATAGCAGTTCTCAATATAGCTATTTCTTCTTGTAGTTTCTGAATTTCTTCAGCTCTCTGTAGACAAGAAAATTAACTGGTGTGTTAACAATTATTAAGTTAAAAACATTAATATAATATCCTTTTGCTTGAGTGTTAAATAAATGCTTTTATAAAAGTTTCTTACACAAACAATTTATCATAAATAATAATTTCAAGAAATTGTTCGTGAGTTCAAATTTTGCTTAATGTTTATTTTTCTAATTTGTGTATCAAACCTTTTGAAAGCATTTATTTATATTCAAAGCAGCATTATTTGTAGCTGAACAGTTGAAGTTCTTCATTTCTTGTACCAGCTTGCAGATAAATACTTCAGAGCAACCAAAAAGTTGGTATTGTAAGGGAGAACATTTTTATATATGAAGCTTTTCTACAATAGAACTCAAACTTCCTCAGCAATATTTTTGTGGAATTCAGTGATTTAAATTTCTTTTAATTAAAGATTTCAAAGTTTTCACTAGAAATGTATCAAATTATGTATTTTTGTGCACCAACAAGTGTCTCTGAAGTATTATGCATATCTGAAAGAAAAGGAAGTTAACACCTAAAAACCAATGTCAACCTGAAAGAAATGTTGATCAAGAAATTAGTAGAGACATTCCATATTTTTTCTACAACATGCAGTATTAATAAATCCCAATACTGTTAGTCTGGTAAGAAACCACACCACATGCTACTATTAAATAAGAAATCATGGTTAATATATGAGAGGTCAAAGTTGTAAGAACACAGGTCAGAGGTGAGAGTTCACAGCAGTGAAAATCATTACCATTTCTATGAAGTCTATACATTAGACAAACTGACTGGAGTCCCAGATCCATCATTTTTTGTATTATTCTTGTTTGTAGCACTCTTTCTGCCTGTTGTTGGAGTCACATTTCTAGAATTTGTTTGGTTGCCTGTTGGAGTCTGATTACGACTCTGTGATGGTGTTTTATTTCCTGTGGGAGTTTGATTTCGACTCTGTGATGGTGTTTTATTTCCTGTTGGTGTTTGATTTCGACTCTGTGAAGGGGTTTGTTTCCCATTCTGTGCTGGTGTTTTATTTCTGTCCTCAGAGGGTGTCTGGTTCCTACCATATGAAGGTGAAGGAGATTTATTTTTCTGATTTTTTAAACTGGTTTGAGAATTTGTCCTTTTTGTTTCATTTCCTTCAGGAATTGGTCCCATTCCTGCATTATCCCCAGGACTTTTCCTGCCTTCCTGAGTTGTAGCCCTTGGATTTCCTGTATGAGAAGGGGTAGGATCATCCCAGGAGGCAAATCCTGTGTCATACCCATCTGAGGGATCATCTTTCATACCATTACTTGTGTACCTAGGCATGCCAACGTTCACCTTGACCTGATTCACTTGTGTTTGTAGGTCTTCTAGACCAGATATTCTCTGTAAATTTATCAACAGTTCAATGTTATCCACAGACAAGTTTATGATACAGTTCAAATAAATTTGGTAAATTATGGGCAAAAAACGTTCTAAATGGTTTTCCTAAGAACAATCTTTTAACCCTTCCCCTCCTCTCACTTACTTTTCTCTTAAAATATAGTGTGCAACATTGTAATCTAACAAAAATAGTATGATATAAATCAAAATAGGTCGTAGAAGGCAAAAGATCAAACACTTAATTTTTGTAAAATATGGATGATTGCCAATGAGACAACTATCCACATGTTCAAATGACATGGATTTTGCACATACTGAAAGTTGCTGAAGTTATAAATACCTTCTAACCCTTTTCTTAGTGAAAACAAATGCATTGAAACAAATAATAAATGGAGACCCCAGTAATTTGTTCACATTGGAAAGTTCTTTGTATGATGATATTAAAGAGGAAAAAATGCAAGTTTGCTTTTAAAAAAGGAATCCATGTAATAAATTCCAAAACTTTACAGATATTTTTTTTATTTTATTCTACAAAATTTTTTGTGGAATATCTTAGGATAATCAACAAGTGATTTGTTTGTTTCAGCTCCAAATCAGTATAACATCAAATTTCTACATTGTTGTCTGATTCTGCCTTTGTAAAAGCAAGGAGCTTATTTTCTAAAGCATTTTAAAATTTTAAAAATATGATTGTCTTCATTGGAGAAATAAAAAATCTCACTTTATCTTGTAACAGATGTAGACACTTGAATGTATATTTATATTTCTCTAATTCTTAACTAATTAATCCTTTCCAGACCTGTTGACTATCTGTTTTTAATCAACATGTGATTCATTTGATCTCAGTTCTTCATTGATCAAAATTTAATTATGACGTCAAATTGTTTTGCTTACCTCTGAATTTCTTATTGTGACATAAAGAAAAAAGGTGATATTACATAGAAAGAACACATTGTTTTGCAGATCATTGGAAAAGAAGGATTAATTGTGTCTGCATATGGTATAAAAATCATTAAAGAAACAGATTCTACCTCTATTCTCGTGCAAAACAATATTTCTCCACACTCAACAGTATAATTTTAAATACTTAAAACGTTCGGCAAACCTCACGTTTTGAATTTTAAAAAGCATTACTATAATTCCTAAAATTACAACAACAAAAAAAGATACAATCATGAATAGGATAGATAAAACTCCAAATTATTGGCTTGATTTTCTACTATTACAAAATGTATAAAATGTCTTTTTGCTAATAAATTCAAAATTGCTTCTAATGTTTGCATGTAGAATTTCTTAACTAGGTCACATTCAATTCAAAAAGAAAGAATAAAGGTATCTATTTATGTTAGATGCAGTCAAAACATTTTTTAAAAGTTCTTTTTATCTGCATCTTTTCATTTTACTTTAACTTCTAACTAATTATTCATAATATTTCAATGAAAACGATCAATGAAAATAAATTTGAACAAATATACTAACCAACTTCTGTTCGGACTGTATTTTCATCCCTAATACAGTCTTAACTGTTTGTATAGAATCTGCTAATTTCCTAACACTGGCTTGTACCTAAGAAAAAAAAATAAATCAAACTTATTATTTCTCTGCAACATTCTATTAACTGTTTACTAGTAATACAACCTAAATTTCTTTCACTACAATGTATAGAAACTGTTTCATTGCTACAATTCTCTTTAAAAAAAAATCCCTAGGTGTATCCAAATGGATGGATGCATAACATTCAAAGGTTATCTTTCAACTCCATAGGAAAAGAACATGTCAATGTAATAATGTATATGTAAAACATACAGAATTAGATAATTAACATGCTTGCTCACATGTGAACGTTTGCTTGGCCTTGAAACAGCAAACACCAATATTCAAAATCTTTGGTTTGTGCTAAAGGTCGCAAACTACCTGAGAAAACCAAGTTGTTTATGTAATTGTGTGTATGTTTTCTAAATTCAACATATTCAAGTATACAATATGAGGTAACACCAACCACTTCTTACCAAGAATTCTAGGTTTGCATGTACTTTATAATTTATTACATATAGAATAAACAGTTTTTTCTTATTTCTAAGCAATTTACATTTGAAATTTTTAATATAATACAATTATTCTTTTTTTTTTTTTTTTCCTTTTCATATATTATTTTGTCACAGGTGAAATATATATATTTATCATTGTAACAGTTAATATTTGAATTTCAAATCATATGGACTACAAAACTAGCAGTACAAAAAATTACTATGCTAAAATTAAAATAAACTTTATTCTAAACTGAAATTATTTTTTTTAAATCTTAAAATTCTATTCTTAAACAATCAAATATTTTATTATTTAAATAAAATTCAGCAAACACTACATGTATTCCTATCTTAAAATAATATGTCAAACAACACAGAAAAAAATATTTCATTCTCTCAAATTCAAAAATCCTAAAAAAAAATTAATAAAATTGAATTTTCTGATTTGCATCTACTTGCATCTATTTGAACAAAAGAATTTCAAGTAAGGCACACATTTGACTACAAAATTCACCTCTGCTGAATTACCACCTGTTCCTGCATTTGATGGTCTCTAACAGTAAATATATCACAAATGTTAAGAGCTATTTTAATCTTATTCCCCTTGCAACCTAGATTACAGGGTTTTGTTTTTAAGATTTTTAAGGAGATTTGTTACAAATGTTATGAAACAAACACTTGGCAACAATCAATGAGTCATTTAAAAATACAAGAACATGCTGGAATAACTTGCCTGCTTTACTGATCATAATTGAATTATATTTTAAGAGTCTTTAAGAATAAGGTTTTACTACAGGTATTGTATAAACTAAACAATTATCCATGGAAATCAAGGTCAGATGAACCCTGACAGACAGACATTTATTCACCTTACAATCATTCCATACACCAAATACGGATGCATACATTGTTGTGCTAAGCATACCAAACTCGTTATTCAAAGTATTGGAAAACAAGAAATAGGGATCTTATATCCAAAAAGCATGCACACCTTACAACTGATCACAATCAAGCTGCTGATCAAATATGAAATCATTCTGACTGGTAGTTTTTAAGAAAAATGTGACTAAAGTTTTTGTTTTATTTAACATGTTGATAATTCAAATTATCAGCAAACAGGAAGTGGGAGTCACACAGATCCAAAAAGCCCTCGCATGATACAACTCAATATGGCCAAGCTGCTGACCAAATATAAAGCCATTCTGTGAGTAGTACTGAAAAAATTTAAAGTTTATTCAACATATTGAAATATTCAAAGTATCAACAAACAGAAAGTAGGTGTCTGACAGATCTGAAACACAAACATTACCAACTTATCACTGTCAAGCTGCTTTTAGAGTGGGGATATTTTATAGTTAACCTATTGCTTATAGCATCTGAGAAATGAAACTAATCACATAAACTTTGCGTTGACCAATGAACCATGAAAATAAGACCTAGGTAATATAAACCCTACCAGGTAGACATGTAATCCACACCTTAAAGTAATTCAATCCACCAAAATAGTTCACTTGTTTCTTATTGTATCTGAGAAACAGGACTAATAACAATAAACTGTTGACACAGAGACATGTCCTGCCTTCATTGAAATGAGGTCATGGACATCTGATATTTGCCAAACAGAAACTTCAGAACATAAGGCATTTGTATACATGATATCAAGTATCAAGTTCTTCTATCTTTTGAAATATAAAGCTTTATACAAACAGTTTATGCCCTCACCAGATTAACATCCCTATGTTTCAAATTTTGCAATATTTGACATACACGACAAAAAAATACAGGTCATGATAATCTCTCAGTATTGCTGATATTCTACATGTAAAATATTGACCCTAATGAAAAAATTTAACATCAAGGAATTCAGTCTCTATACACAAAATCTAACAACCAAAAGCTCTACTGATCTTGACAGTTCTTAAACAATGTAATATAATTTCTTGTGGAAAGATCTATTTTGTGAGGTATTTAAGATATTAAGTTGATTGGTGTGTGCTTTATGGTTTTATGTTGTTTTAAAACTGCTGTCAACTGATGGAATCATGAAAGATTGTCATACAAGTGGAAGATTGGCAAAATAATATCAGCTTTCAAAGGGAAAGTCTGAGTACCAGGTCATAAAACAAATATCTAATTGTTCCAAAAGCTGATATGTTAATGCAAGCATTTTCCCATTTCTGTCAGAGAAAACAAATGTTCAATCTAGATCAAGTTTTGCGTAAACAACATATATACATACATTTTCTAAGTCATGTATTGTAGCTGGATGAGGATCTCTTCTGGCCTTTAATTGTTGAATTTCTTGTTTTAAACTATCAACCTCTCGATTTCTGAAAGAAAATATTATCCATATTGATTTAACTTTCAGGGAAAAAAATGTTTTACACACCTATCTGCATAAATTACTCCTTTCAAATAAATTATTAAGCACATTTATGCACTAACAAGAATAAATGCATGTAGGAATCTGATGTTCAGTAGTTGTCGTTTGTTGATGTGGTTCATAAGTGTTTCTCGTTTCTTGTTTTTTATATAGATTAGACCGTTGGTTTTCCCGTTTGAATGGTTTTACACTAGTAATTTTTAGGGCCCTTTATAGCTTGCTGTTCGGTGTGAGCCAAGGCTCCATGTTGAAGACTTTGACCTATAATGGTTTACTTTTATAAATTTTGACTTGGATGGAGAGTTGTCTCATTGGCACTCATACCACATCTTCTTATATCTATGTAAATATATCCATTCAATTAAATGTGAAAGCATAAGATTATCAAAAGTTATAACAGCCATCTTACATATAGATAGGTTATTTGTTTCTCTATCCTTTTCTGCAATTTGTATTTACTTCTTTATATAAATTAGCCACAAAGATAATGTCATTGTACTTAAAATAAAAAAAAAAAAATCCCCATAGTTTGTTATACAAACCTAGCATCAGACTCTGCTGTCATTCTAGAGTTCATTTCTGACTTAAGAAGTGTCTGTTTTTCCTGCACTGCATAGATCTAAAACACGTAAATATACATTAATTTTCAGTCAGTATAAACTTTTAATGATAATTTAAAGAGGCTGATTTCTTATCTTGTAAAAAAAAACAAATCACGATCTCTACCAGTGTCAGATTGTAAAATGAAATAAAACTCTGGTTTTACTATTAAAGGCAAAACAATAAATGTTCTTAAATGCAAAAATCTTCCTAAGGTTTAGCTTCACCAATATCAGCAGTGGATATTATGACTGAGGGAAATTAAATGCCTAATGTAGTATGGACATTGTAAATACAGTATACACATTTAGGGTTCAGTACAAAACATAATGATTTAAAACTTTGATTTGCAAGAAATGCCCAGAGTTCAATTTTTCTCTGCAAGAAAAGTATCTTTATTGAAGTTATTCTTTATCTTTAAGTAACAATACATTATCAACTTTTTATTTATAATTTTAATCAATTTCCCAATAATGCTTTAAAAACCCTATCAAAAAGTCAAACAAGGGTACCACAAAATCTACGGGTAATTGCCTGTTTGCTGATTAATTTATTGACAACTTTTATAGACCCATAATGATTTAAAGCTTGATTTATTGTATAGACACCTGTCTACTCTTGAAGACAATATGTAGCCCACTGGATGTCTTTTTAGTTATTCTTATTGTTTGGTTGCTGTGTCAGTGACGTATACCCCTAAATCTCCTTGTATACACATTACCTTGGTGTTGGAGATTGTGTTGACAAGGTTGCAATCTTGACCCTTGACCTAAATGACTTTTGATTCCAGATCTTGGAAATCAAAATAGTCATTATCTGGTCATGATGATAATTTAGACCAAGTTTGATGAAGTTCGTTAAACATGCTAAAGTGGGTCAGTCTTGTCCAGGTCCTTCACCTCAGTTTAACCTTGAATCCAACTTTGAAAACTAATAGGGATAAATTTGTTTACAGGGGATAATTATTACAATATATGTACCTCATCTGGTAATTTGTGCACACTATTTTGAATTTCTCTTAGAGACGATTGAGTGGTGTCCTGCCAGACAGTGATAGCATCCACTTTTTCACGTAAATTTTCTCCCAATACTTGTGAAGCCTACAATTGAGAAAAGACAATACTAAAGCAAACTTTACAAAAAAATATCACAAATGAATAGTTAATTTGACAAGCTATTTACCGGTCTATGAAAATTTACTTCCAACATTAAAAAAATTTAAACTTTTACAACATTTTTATGATGATAATGATATGATACACAACACAAATGTATATAAATGAAATGTTTGGATGAACTAAGGAAAATAAATAGTTTTAAATTTCAATCCTAATTTTTAAATTTGTATAGATATAACAACATTCAGTATTTGTAAGACTTAAGACAAACCAAAAACTACCTATACATTGCAAGGAATGTACTTCAATACAAAATAAGTATGATAAACTAGACAAAACACACAAGACAATTTAACTTATTAAACACCTCCCCAAAATTAGACTAGAGGCTCTAAAGAGCCTGTGTCGCTCACCTTGGTCTATGTGCATATTAAACAAAGGACACAGATGGATTCATGACAAAATTGTGTTTTGGTGATGGTGATGTGTTTGTAGATCTTACTTTACTGAACATTCTTGCTGCTTACAATTATCTCTATCTATAATGATCTTGGCCCAGTAGTTACAGTGGAAATATTTTGTAAAAATTTACAAAAATTTATGAAAATTATAAAAAATTGACTATAAAGGGCAATAACTCCTTAAGGGGTCAATTGACAATTTTGGTCATGTTGACTTATTTGTAGATCTTACTTTGCTGTACATTATTGCTGTTTACAGTTTATCTCTATCTATAATAATATTCAAGATAATAACCAAAAGCTGCAAAATTTTCCTAAAATTACCAATTCAGGGGCATCAACCCAACAACGTGTTGCCTGATTGGTCTGAAAATTTCAGGGCAGATAGATCTTGACCTAATGAACAATTTTATTTCTTGTCAGATTTGCTCTAAATGCTTTGGTTTCAGAGATATGAGCCAAAAACTGCATTTTACCCTATGAACTATTTTTTAGCCATGTCGGCCATCTTCGTTCGCGGGCGGGTCATCGGACACATTTTTTAAACTAGATACCCTAATGATGATTGTGGACAAGTTTGGTTAAATTTGTCTTAGTAGTTTCAGAGGAGAAGATTTTTGTAAAAGATTACAAAAATTTACGAAAAATGGTTAAAAATTGACTATAAAGGGCAATAACTCCTTAAGGGGTCAATTGACAATTTTGGTCATGTTGACTTATTTGTAGATCTTACTTTGCTGTACATTATTGCTGTTTACAGTTTATCTCTTTCCATAATAATATTCAAGACAATAACCAAAAACGGCAAAATTTCCTTAAAATTACCAATTCAGGGGCAGCAACCCAACAACGGGTTTTCAGATTCATCTGAAAATTTCAGGGCAGATAGATCTTGACCTGATAAACAATTTTACCCCACGTCAGATTTGCTCTAAATGCTTTGGTTTCAGAGATATAAGCCAAAATCTACATTTTACCCCTATGTTCTATTTTTAGCCATGGCGGCCATCTTGGTTAGTTGGCCTGGTCACCGGACACATTTTTTAAACTAGACACCCTATTGATGATTGTGGACAAGTTTGGTCAAATTTGGCCCAGTAGTTTCAGAGGAGAAGATTTTTGTAAAAGTTTACGGACGACGGACGCCAAGTGATGAGAAAAGCTCACTTGGCCCTTTGGGCCAGGTGAGCTAAAAATAATAATAGACGTTCACACTGAGTGAAGGGGTCACAACTGTAAATCACATATATCCAAATAAATAAAATTATTTACATTCTTATTTCAAATTGCCTTTACTATTCTAAATTTCTAATTTAAAATGGAAAAAATTGTGCAACGTGAAACTTATAAAAAATTGTTTAATATGTGCAATTGGTGACAATAAACTAAATAAGCAATATTTTTTATTAACTGCTTAATATGGTAAAGCTGTCACATCTGTAAAAAAAAAAAACAACTAAAAAATATTGGGCAGAAACATAAAATACTATAATAACAAATGAATTAAGGTGGATCGGGACTATTCGACTGCGCATAATTTCACACATGAATTACCATGCACACGAAAAGTTTGTGTCGTAAATTCACTATTATTTTTTTTAATATTTTGATTGATTAAAAATGTTAAATCATTGTACTTTTGTCACTAAAAAATAATTATTGTTATTATGTGTATCTGTGAAAGACTCAAAATGACATTTCACCCAATTTCACCATTTTCCCGCCAAATTTTGGGTTTTAAGGCAATATATTTTTTTTTCCTTATCGATGACCTATGTTTTTTATTTTCTCATTCTTTAAAGCTATATTTCAGCTTTTTATATTACAGTTTTGGACCAAGTGTCACAGAACGTTTTTTTGATATTCCGATAAAAATATGTCAACACCTCTACTTTCCCTATCATTTCATTGAAAAACGGTCCCTTTTACATACCTCTTTAAAAGTAATATTTTGAGCTTAAATGGTCCGGGACGCCCTATTTTTTTTCGAACAATTTGATTCACTCTCTGTAAAGATTAAAAAAACAAAAAATACGGCACTTCTGACAGAAACTTCGAATAGTCCCGAGCCACCTTAAATATATTTTCAGAATTGTGAAATTAGCAGTACAGATTTTTAGATTAATATTAAATTTAATTTTCAAAAAACTGCTTTGTCTAAAATTGACCATCCTTTTTTGTCCGCAATAATATATCTAAATTCACTCCTAAAATTTTTACCTTCAGGCCATATCACAACAACAAGGATTAAAGGAGTACATCCTAAAAATTAACTAGAAGATGTGACATTTCAAATTATTGCTAAAAATATAATGGGGGTATACATCAATAGCTGAAATTTACATTCTATTAATAGACTTAATTACCTCTGTATTATCCTTTATAAATAAAACAAACAAATTAATTGTTGAAGTACAATATATTCATAGTTTTGAAAAAAATGTAAATAAAGGAAATTCATGGTTGCAAACATATATAATGGTATTGCATATCTGAAAATTACGTGTTTTGATAGTTAGTTGATCTTAGAACAACTAATCAATTCCAGAAAAAAGGTATAGCAGCAATCTAAATGCAGATTAAATGTCAATGAGACAGCAATCCGACTAAAACAGGAAATATTTATACTTCCAAATCACCTACATTCAGCCCTTGTTTTGGAGGCGTTTGTTTTGCTCAATCTCTATTTATGTGTTTTATGTTTCTTAAACTGTTGTTTGACTTTTTTTCTGCCAAAGGGTTATCTGACTTTTTTTTTAATTATAATTTTTGATGTATCATCTTTTTTTTACAAGACAACGGAAACAAATTACAGTCTATATGATGTTTTTTTATATATAAATTAGTTGTTTACCAAGCAAGTGATGAACTAATTTTAAAATATGAGCTATTACTTTTACCATAAGAGTACATTTTACAACCATAAACTCTCCATAGAAAAATAAAAAATTGTGATTTAAAAAATATTTACTTGTTGAATACCAGTTTTAAGATTTGAATAAATAATATTAACTTTTAGTAACCGTTTCCTCTTCTACATATTTTTAATAAGTTGATCAAACAGTGAAAGGATTGAATAGAACAATAAAAAACTGGTGTCAACAAAGTGCTATGGAATTATAGAAAGAGTTCAGGAGCAACTGAAGTTTTGTTTCACCTAAAGAACAAATGCTGTCAAAAGCTTAAATGGCAACAGTAGTTTAGGTCTGATGGTCAAACACACTTCTATCGTCTAAGAACACTTTCCATTGTTGTATTGTATTGTTGTACCCTCATGTTTTGAGAATTTTTTTTATAAATAAATAAGTACAAAACATATTGGAGGATTTATATTATTAGCCACTCAAAAATAAACAAGACCAATTATTACCAGATATGGACCTGTGTTGCTGCATGTAATTGATTGAGGTTGCATGTATACTGAATGATTCCCTTTCTTTGAAAGCAAGAAAAACTTTGACGAAAATTTTCCTTGTACAATGAGTGTTGTAAAATGTCAAACTATCACCAAACAGGAAGTAGCTGATGATAAAATAGCTTACATGCTTTAGCACATCATAATCAAGCTGCAGACCAACTATAAAATCACTCCCTTCCATGCAAGCCAAGAAAACTTTGACAAAAAATTTCCGTGTACAATGAGTGTTGTAAAATTATCGGCAAACAGGAAGTGTCTTCACAGCAAATGTAAAAATTGCATTTACGCTACAAATCTTCATTCTCAAGCTGCACCACCAAATATAAAATCATTCCCTTCCATGCAAGCTAAGAAAGCTTTGATGAAAATGAGTGTTGTAAACTTTCAAACTATTGGCAAACAACTCATCATTATCAAGCTGCAGACCAAATATAAAATCATTCCCTTTTAATAGAAGCCAAGAAAACTTTTAACGAAAGTTAAAGTTTTCTACTCAAGGTCTTTTGGACGGATGGACTGATGAACGAACAGACTGAGTCGAGTGGTATCTAGCCCTGCTTCCACCTTTGGTGACATAAGTAACAAGCAGGTAACAATGATATCAAGTTCGACAGTCAACAATGATATCATGTCCAACAGTCAACAATGATTTCTGTTTCCATGTCCAATAGTCAATTTTTTTAACTTTTACCTTGCAACAAACTACTTGAAAAAAAATTTGATAATTTCAATTTTCATATTTTCAAATCCGTGAAAACATGAAGGTACAACAAAAGTTCCATGGTATATCACTCAAAACCACATTTTTGTTCTGTGATGAATTGCACTATGAATATTCACTGCAAATTTTTTCTGCAGATCTAAATCTATAATTCTGCAGTTATCTATGTGTACTATGTAAAATATTGTTGTGTTCTAAAACTCCTGAAAAAAAGTATCTAGTCAACTGCAATGAAAATCCATGTGTTGTACCCAGTACCTCAATAAGTTCCTCCGTCTGTGTGCATTAAAAACGATTCAACAATATTGTAAGTATTTTAATTCTTTGTTTGCTGTTTTTCTAAACCAATCAGCACATTTTCACAGAGAATCAGCCCTTTTAATAGTATCAGCATAAATACTTATTAACCTTTCACAATTAATATTTATTTCCTCTTTTGCAACTTTAACCATGTGTAATATTACCACAAATGAAGCATGCTTCCAAATCCATAAACTATCATTTTAGTACCTCATTTTCTTGCTTTTTCTCATTTAGTAATTTCTAAAACAATTTACATAATAAATTATATAATTCTTTATACTGATGTTACCAATTTTCGTGCAACTGGTCACATACTGTGCACATTAAATTAAGAAGGCTTTGTTCAACCAATTGCTAAAATGTTTAACCCAATAACAGTTTGAATTTACCTCAATAAGCCGATCAACTAGTAAAAAACTTATTGATTACATGAAATTGATAAAGCTTATTGATATAAAAATAAGGAGATGCGGCATGATTGCCAATGAGACAACTATTCCCCCAAGTTCAAATGAAGTGGATGTAAGCAATTATAGGCAACCATACGGCTTTCAACAAGGAGATAAACTGTTGACACAGAGATAATGTAAAAAATTGGCATAAGTTAATGAAAAGGCAGTATATTAGCAAAACCCTAGTAAAAGAAATAAACTATACAGTTTATAATGTTATACTTTCACAGGTTTTATGCATTTGTATACGCATAATATACATGAAATGTGCTAACCCTTCAAAAGAATCAGATATCATAACTTTTTTTATAGTAGCTCATAATGGCAAGGTTTTTAATGTTGTTGTTTGTTTGCATGTACCCATATGTTTGATCTTTGAATGTTGATAGTTCATCTATCTAGGTTTGGTTTTTTTCACTTCCAGTCTTGTATGGTATCTATGAACATTGCCAATGTCTAAATCTATCACTTGGTAATGTCTGCATGTCTGCATATTGATTAAAACTACATTTTAACACCAAACAGCATGTATAATTTCTAAATTCTGAACAAAATAAAATAAAAAAAAAAAGTTCTACTAAATGTCCTTATTAGATAAACGCTAGAACTTAAAATAGCACACCAAGAGATTTTGAACATAAAAAAAATCATTAAGAGATTAAACAAATTGGATTGTGTTTAAATTTGGCATATCACAAAGTTTCTGAACAAACATATTTCATTATCTTCCCACTATCTCTCAAACTGTTCATTTATAACATAAATATATCTCTGCTTTGTGATATTACGGCTGTTTGACCTAATCTTTGCCTTAATGCTTGTCTTAACAAGTCAGCAATCCCATCGCAATTGTACCGATGTTAATTCTATTGATTTAAACATATGTTGTTAGGGTCATAAAAAACATTGAATGTTAAGTTTTCATCATGAAGACAAAGCTGATTTATACATCATTAAGCTTTACAACCATACTTTTGGACTCAGTTATGAAGAAAAAATCTTGGTATTGTTATAAACATATGACATTTAATAAAAGAAGAATGTGTGTGAGAACATGAATGCCCCCACTCAAGCTTTGCAATTTTCCAAGTTAAAAAGGGGCATAACTCTAGAACAATAAATGCCTCTAAACCCGTATTTGAACTCTGTCTGAGTGTTGTGGTTCTTAGCATTGTGTATGAGTTTCATAAAATTTGGATAAGACAAACTTAAGTAAGAGTGTGGAAACTAAAATGGGACAGACGGATGAACAGAAGATGAAGGGTAACACTTAATGCCCCTGTTGTCTATGGCGGGGGCATAAAAACATTTTACAAGCTTCATATCAATATTATGAAAGACTGATATATAATGTTCATTCTGAAGGATAAAAAACCAAATTTAAAATGAAATCCGAGCAATATCTACAAACTATCTATACTGTCTTTTATGGACAAGAAACTTATTACTAAAAACAGATTCAATCAAATAAAAATAATAGAAGATTTACACTCCATTATCGCAAATACTACTTTATTACCTCAGGATTTTTTTGCTTTGCCGTAAACTATAGTGTACATGTAGAATATTTTCAAATAATTTTGTAACAAACGAATCAAAATTTTAAGTTTTTGTACTTGTTAAACATATGATTTTAAACGAAAGAGTAAGGTAACATTTATGAGAACAAAGAGTTGAAGTTATATTTCAGAGCTGAGTTTAGCTAATTATCCTCTTAGTGTTGAACAAGATTAGAACACAACACTACAAATAAACATATACACTCTTCAAGCAATGATATACAGTGTATGTAAATCATAAAATCTTTTTTAAAAACCTTTCATCTGTTAATTTATAGATCCTATGAGCTGTAGTCGAAAATTTTCTCCCTTCTTTTAATTTTTTGATTTAAAGTGTACCTAGTTTCAGAGCGAAAATGGTTTGCAAGTCAATCAAACTGTCAATTTATATTTAAACATAAATATCCATATATCTTTTGCAGCTTTGACAAAAGCCCTTCCCAGAAACTCATTACCAAAATCACTAATTTTACTCTAAAATCATAATTTAAAGTTGGTTATCTCTCTTTTCTGGAAGTACAACTGTTAAGCGGCAATGAAGCTCAAAGAATAGTCAATGACTGGTGGTTTTTAATCCCTGTACCTAAGGAACACAAGAATTTATGATATTCCCCATTACTTTTTCCTTTAAATATTTGAAAGATTTATAGTATGTTGCAGTGATTTTTTACAACAATATTATGTGTCATTCTTTCATTCATTTGGTGCAAACATTTGTTTTACCAATTTAGATAAACTCTTAGGCTGTTTTAATACAGGCTGGTTTCCTTCATCATTTTCCTGTTATTCAAATTACAGTTACTCAAACACACCAGATAAACTTTAAACTAAAAAAAAGTGTAACGAGCAGTGTGCATTAACTTGTTAAAAAAGGGAAGATCTGAATCAATTTAGATTTAAATTTGGCAATTTCATATATGCTTCATTGATCAGATAACTATAAAATATAACCTCACATCCTCAATGTGTACAAAACCTGATTTTGTTTTATAAATTTTACTCCTTAAATAGTTGCATTCAAACAGAGATGACTATTTCAATCTTAAGAACAATGGACCTTTACATTCTTTTAACCTGAGTCAACAAATCACTGAAAAACTAATAATAATCTTTTAAACCATTATAACTTCTTTATACTGTTCAAATTATTGTTCCCATATAATAAAAAAATTTCATTTTAAGATATACAATTTTCAAAACTAGAGATTTCATAATAGGCAGAAGTGAATAAACTTTACGTACTGTTGCCACTCTAGCTTCAAGTTTTTCTTCATTATCATTCATTCTATTTTTCAGATGAGAAATTCTAGCATCTAAGTCTGTCATTCCTCGAGTCGTACTGTCTTTTGATTCTGCTATTGTTTGTCTCATTTCTCGACGCATCTGTCAAATGAAAGATTTTTTTATATCATTTTGTAATATATTTGAGTAGAAAAAAAGCTAATTTTCATTAAGCTACTACTTCAATGACTTTTTTTTTTAAGAATAACTATACTTTGAAATGGGTAAGTGCAACATATTGATCAAGGAATAATGTCACAAGGACATAAAATACCAATATAAATCAGCTGTGAAAAGGGATTTAACTGAACTAAAGATTATCCTTAATAACTAATCATATTGTTAGTAATAAAGATTCATTTTAACAATTTATTCATTTAATAGAAATCACTCTAAAATGGCTAAAATATCTTTATTGTGGTTTCTCGTAATCTTTTATCATCAGTATCAAATAGTCTATCTACATTAAATCTTTGCTGTTACCTTTTCATTCATAGTATGAAACGACTGGGTTACACCACCTATAGCTTGCTGTAGAGTTGAGGTAGCAATCTGTAATTTTTCATTCATTTGTGACAAACTTTCACTAATATTTTTTGTATTTGTTTTTCTGAAGAAGAAAAAATAATATATATATGAATCTTTTACAAATACAACATTTTTATATACATAATAAATAATGGACATAAAAAAGGCTGCAAGTCACTTCTAAACTAAATAAAAGAGAAAATGTGGTCACTAATGTTTAGAATATTTGAAGCTAATATCAGTAACCATACATCTGCTCACAAATTTTGATGCAAGGAGTCTATCCTCTTTAAATTCTACCCAGACTTCCAGAGCTACATTAAAAATATCAGCATTGAAATAAAACTGTTAAGAATGTATATTACAAAATCAATGGTAAGGTCACCTGAAGCAAGTTATTTCATCTGAGCAATATGGATATTAATATCTAATAATTGCTTAAGATAGAATGGAAGTATAAATAAAAATGGAAATATTTTTTTATTCTTTGCAAAATTATAGTTTAGTAAACATCACAGAGCTTATTTTCCATAGTAGTTTAAAATTTTGATATTTTGTTTGTTAGGATAATACAAGGAAAAAGCACTATAAAAAAACATCAGAGATAGAATTTTGAGAATAAAATTTAAGAAGATAGCTCTTTTGAAATGCTTTCCGAAAATTAAAAAAAAAAAAAAAAAACTTGGGTCACAGCACTTATTTTATTGCTACATAAAAAAAGTAGATAATTAACTATACATCCTTGTATAAAAACAAAAAAATCTTGAGTTATGTCCCCTTATAAAGCAACCATTTAAAAACTTTTAAATGAATAAAATAACACCTTTTATTTATTAAAATAAGTTACAATATGAAAGTTAAAAAAATCTAAAAGAAAATTCCAATAAATAAATTGAATTTAAGCTTATAAGATTTGCTGATTGTAGTAAAAAAGACATGCATCAATTGCTGTCATTTGTGATTCAAAAGATTTCGAAAAGACTCCCATACTACTTTTCAAAATAGCTCTCTATGGAATTTATACAGAAATTGTGAAAACTATACTGGCACAATGCATACATACCTCTGTGTAATTTCAGCACTCATTAATTTTTCAAACTGTCTTTTATTTTCTAATGTTTGTTTCTCTATAATTGATATTGATTCGTCTAATTTGGTTATTGTTTCTTTTGATTTCAATTTTTCAGCCTGAAAAAAAAAGGAAACAAGGTTTGGAAATATGAAAAATGGAGAAAGATTTCTTATGTACCTGAAATAAGGAGCTATTAAATTTTCTGGCACTTGTTGTTGAACAGATGTCTCAAGTGATCACTGCTTTTTGTACTTGTTTAATTGATTAAGTACATATCTCACAAGAGAAAGTGTGGTCATATACTTCAACCCTGGTTGAATGTATGACTGTAAAATTTATAAATAATGGTATCCCTCCAATATTTAATCTCAACACACTACAAATAATAACTCTCAATTTTTAAAAAATTTCTAATTCTGGAATAAATGATCACTTTACCAACCATAGAACTAGATCTTTAAATTTTAAAAACAAAGTCATATAAAAGATGTTGTTAATATAATCACACATTCACAGGGAAAAAAAAAGTATGGCAACCTTAAATTCAAAGGAATTCTCTAAGCTCGTGTGTATATATATGAGAAAATTTATAATACCAGACCAAAACAAGAGGCTGTCAGATTGACAGCAAACTGGATTTCCTTGCATGAAAATGATATTTGCAAATCTGGAACCCCAAACAGGATCAAGTAAAATAAAATAAACGAATTTTTGAAGGGTTTAGGAATGGAAAGGCCAAAATCAATCTTGACCTATTTATCATAATCGACATAATATTGGAATTTAAGAGAGTATATAAGTACACACACATTTGTTAGGCAGAAATCATGCAGTCAATAATGAAAGAAATTAGTTTATGAGATTATAACCTTAAATATGAAACCATCTAATCTTGTGGTCACTCCAATAATTTTCCAGAAACCCACTTTCAAACAGTTGTTGTCTTGTTTCTTCAAAGAATCAACACAAAATTCGAACTTGACCTTCTTTTAGTCACAGGAAAAAACATATCTAAATTTGAAAAGATTTCGTCAAAGCTTTTTCAAGTTTTTGCACGAACACTATTTGACAGCCCCCTGCCGCCTGCCGTGCATCACCAAATTCATAAGATATTTTCCTTCAGAATTCCGGTTAATAAAACACATACTTTAGCTGTAAATATCCATACTGTTCTTTATACCATACATGAACTTGTCAAGTTTTTTAAGAATAAAAAGTGTATAGAGGACATAAAAGGAAGGAATCCAAACCTGAAGTCATATCCAGCTTTGTCAGCAGGGGACAACATTTCTAAACATATTAAGCTGCTAGGCAACCATTACCTTTAAAGATTCTTTTAAATCAATGTTGAGTTCATCATGTGCATGTTTTATAGCTTGCCATTTTCTGTCAGTCTCTTCTCTTGTTGCTCTTTCATACTCTCTTCTTTGTATCTGTTCTTGTTGAATTAACTGCAAACAAATCATTAAACTGTTAACACAGAAACATACCTCATCTGCTTTGTAGCAAAATCAGAACCTTTGTTTGTCTGGACTGTCATGTAACTCTTATTTTTAATCATGTGTATATCACCAAAGTATTTCTAAAACTCATCTCATTAGAAAGCTAGTAACATTTTAAAATATGTGATTTTGGTGTTTTGGCAGATTTTTGAAGTATCTGTTATCATATGCCTTTTCTTGGTTTTGTTGTGCAGTTTGATTGCTACCTCATTTACATTTATATCCTTTGACTGATATGCAGTAAGATAAGAATAATCTTTAATTTATCTTAGTCCTTACTCTTTCTAAATTTAAATATCTATCTTGCATTTCTTCTCTCATTTTGATTTCTTTAGATAAAAGTTTTTTATTAACATCTTCCACAGTGTCTGCTACTTTAGAGGTCAAGGTCATTCTTTCAGCAGCAGATACATGCTCCTTTTCCCGTAATAACATGTCTACTGTGTGCATGCTTTCTTCTCTCTTTCTACTGGCATCATTTAATTGCTGCTGCAGCTCATGTACTCTGTTAAAAAAGCAAAATACGATTAACTAAATTTTCTCTGTACACATAATGCAAATTCAAAAACTATGCATGCATTTTGTATTATAAATTATTGAACAATAACAAAAATGCAAGATAAAAATTACGATTCTATAAAATGCTGCATACAAATTATTCTATTAAAATCTATAATGCAAGTTTTTTTTTATGCAAAACCTATCCCATTGCAAATTTCTCAATAAAACAAAATTGAATCTTTTACTGAATTTACAGAATAATGTTGAAAGAATAGTAAAACTGAAAATTAAAGGAAATCATTACAGACACTTGATATTTTATGTTGACCCTAAGTTATCTGATTAGCTTTATTTTGTGTTATTGTGTTGCTGTCTTCTTGGCATATACCCCACTTCCATTTTATATCAGTATCATAAAAAAAATATTTTTTTTTACATTTTATAACATACATCATTTTCTTATCTTCTTCCCTAAATTCAATCAGAATTCTGCAATCAGCATTCACTGTATTTTTGTCCCAATTATTTTTTTAGATATGTTTAGCTTTTTAAAATTGTTTGAAGCTCAACATTATACATAATTATTACCTTTGAGAAAGTGTTGTTTCTAAATTTCTTCTCTCAGTAATTTCTATGTCATGTTTTGCTCTAAGATCAACCAGCACCTCTCTTAGCTCTGACAATCTGTAATACAGAACAGTAAATAATCAATAATAATATTCTTAAATATACCATCAAATCATCCATTTATTCACAAAATCAAAGAATCTGTGATTTGTCAAGGGAGGTAACTTTTGAAGATCAGGGGGATAATTCATCAGAATATCAGAATATTACCATAAATCAACCAATTTTCACACATTTTTAGTGTAATAAAAAGTTTCTATCTTCAAAACTGTAAGAGCAGCTAGACTGACACAGTATGAAAATATGATTATTTCGTTACAGTTGACTAAGTTCAGGAACCTTTGTTACAAATTTACTAGTAAAAGAAGGTGTATTTTGTAAGTTTATTACCTAGTTTCTACCTGTCCTCGTAACTGCGTTGTCTGATGTTCTGTTTGACTTTGTACGGTCGACTGCTTACGTAGATTGTCAAGCTATAAAATAAAAAAGTCTAAAGTTAATTCTAAGCATAAAGTATTTATTCAACTTTACATTATTAGTCCTTCAAAGTAACATTTTTAACTACAAAGTTAACAAAATAAGTCAAAATAATATCATTCTTTTCTTTCAAACAAATCTTTGAAATAATACCATATCTTTTAAACATTATACTTTTCAAATACACTTAAAAACCTTGTTGGTCTGTTTTTTACTGGATGTATTAAAAAACCATTCATAAAGATGAAAAGTGTCCACAATAAAATATGATTCTTCTCAGTGAAATTCTGTTACATCCTTGCTATTTAGTATCCTTTTTGAAAGTGTCTTCATTGTGTGATGATTCCTATGGCTAACCTCAGCAGATGGGCAAATTTTAAACAAAACCCCTCATCACCAAGGCAAATTTTACAGGTAACACTTTAAATGACACCAAAGTAACAGTGCATTGCAATAGTTAATCATATTCAGTTAACACAACGATATTTACCCTGTGTGAAAACATCTAACAGGAATATGACACACAAAGATCTTCCAAAGGGAGATTGCTTATACTATTAAAAAGAACTTACAAATTGAAATATTAAGTTGTCATTTATTGCAAATAAACATAACTATTGACACAGAGATTTGTCTTGCCTGTCGACATAAAATTCAGAAAAAGACAATGTGACGGACATTGCTATTCAAAATTCAAACTCGCCAGACCATGAACTAGTGGGCAGGGCCTAGAAATATGACAAACTGAGATGTACAGACAGCAATGTAACTTTATAGAAAATATTGTTGTCTATTGTAAGGAGTTCACATCAAACAGATTAAAGCAGAAAACTAAATGAAAAATGCTAAATAATTCATAGTTTCTGGACTATGACCTAGGGGACAGGGTCCTAAAATAGTCATTTAACTGAGAAGTACTGATAGTAATGCAACTTCATACAAAATATCATTGACCTATCATAAGTAGTTCATATCAATCTAATTGAAGCAGAAAACTTAACATTTAAAATTGCTATATAATTCAAAGTCACTGAACTATGGCCTAGGGGGCAGGGCCTCAAAAAAGTCGTCAAACTGATATGTACAGATAGTAATGCAGCTTCATACAAAATATCATTGATCTATCACAAGTAGTTCCTATCAAACTAACTTAAGCAGAAAACTTAACATTTAAAATTGCTAATTAATTCAGTCAATGGACAATGGCCTAGGGGGCAGGGCCTCAAAAAAAGTTGACAACTGAAATGTACTGATAGTTATGCAACTTCATACAAAAAATCATTGATCTATCACAAGTAGTTCGTATCAAACTAACTTAAGCAGAAACCTTAACATTGAAAATTGCTAACTAATTCAGTCACTGGACCATGACTTAGGGGGCAGGGCCTCAAAATAGTTGTCAAACAGATATGTACAGATAGTAATGCAACTTCATACAAAATATCATTGATCTATCACATGTAGTTCCTATCTAACTAACTTAAGCAGAAACCTTAACACTTAAAATTCCTAATTAATTCAATGTCACTGAACCATGGCCTAGGAGGCAGGGCCTCAAAATAGTCGTCAAAATGAAATATACTGATAGTAATGCAACTTTATATAAAATATCAATGGTCTAACACAAGTAGTTCCTATCAAACTAAGCAGAAAACTTGACAATTGTTAAAGCTGTTGTTGCTATCCCTATGTCTCGCTGGAGGTGAGACAAAAACTATAATGTTCATAAAGAATTATCTTGTAAATAGCCCCATTAATAAAAAAAATTATTTGCCAATAATGCATACACTGTGCTGTGAACCCCAGAACAAGTTCGTGTGGCCATATTTGTTGCCAGATTCAATATTATTTGTGTGTAACAACATGCAAATCTATGTTCAGTGCATCCTTGAAAAATGTTCTGATATAATTCTTTTATATTTGTGTTAAATAAAACGATCAGCTTTATTGTGTGATGAGCATACTTACCCTCTATAAAAATATAAATATATAAAAAATGCTTTATTGAAAGCGGATGTTGCAGTAAAGTTTTCTTTAAAATACCCTAAACATTTGCTTGAAGTGAAAACAAAAGCTTCAAAAAGAACAATTTGACAAACTGTTTATTTACTGTAAATAAATACATGAAAGAATAGCAATTTTATATTATAACTCAGCATTAAGTAAATTGAATAAATATGTTTTTGGTATCTACATTATAGCATATGGGAGTAACAGAAATAACAGTAAGGCTAACATATATATAAGAGTACTAAAAAAACAATATACCGGTAGTAAGTAAGTTTTGACCAAAAAAAAAAAACCTAAATGTTTATATGTAAGCATAGAAACTTTTCTTCATAGAAGTTCTGTTTTCAAAGTTTTATAAATGGCGAAATGCTTTTGATTTAATTATTCTCTACTAAAAAAGAAAATAGGAATACAAGTTTATAAAATATATAATTTCAAGGTATGGGACAAATAATGGGATGAAAAAAAATCTTTTTAACCATTTTAACAATATCTACTGTAGGTTTAATTTGAAATCTACTACTCTAGAGCTAGTTACCTCTTCTGTCTGCATGCAATAATTACAATGTTATCATGATTAGGAAGAAAGATAGACTGAGATAGTACTAAACTAACATCAAATACATATCATATTATGTTCATATTAGATCGGCTCCATCTGCATGAGACAAGAGCTAAATATAAGAACTTTTAATTTTATGTAAAATGGCCATTGTATGGTATGGTTTTTGCTCATTGTTGAAGGCTGTACAGTGACCTATAGTTGTTCATATCCTCGTCCCTTGGACTCTGGTGGATAGTTGTCTCATTGGCAATCATACCACATCTCCTTTTTTTTATGTTGATTTCTCATGCTATATGTGTCAAATGTGACTTTTTAAGAAAAACCTGTCTGTCACTATGTAGATAGTGGTAATAACAAATTGGCAGTATCACAGATTGTTTATCAAAATAACAGTTGGCTGATAAATGATGTTCACTAATGCTGTGAAGATAACATAACCAATTTTTTTTTTGCCGATTTAGCACTTTCCACAAAATGTAGGTTGTAACAACTATTGTTACAGGAGAATGGAACAAAACGTTTACTTGATGACTTGACTTTTGATTATCATTGACAGAATTCAATCTTCAGTGAGTGATTAAATTACATGCACATTATTTTAAATTAAATTTTCCTACCATTGATGTCCATGTATCAAGAAGTAAGAGTCACAAACAATTCATTTACATGATAACAACATACAATCAGGATGTTTTCATTTCAAGTTGTCCAAGAACCTCTTTTCAAACTAATAGATGAAATTAAAGACTTGAATATCATTAAACCAGATCTTAATTACATCTACACAACAGGTTATATAGAAAACAGCAAACTATGATTGAAATATTTATGTACAAAATCTATTTCTCACCTACAGTTAAAACCAGATAACATTCCACTTTTAACCTGAGGTAACAGTCACAACTACTGTATACAGTTAGAACTAACATACACAACTGATAATGGGAGATAACTCTCCTTTTCCAGAATAGTTTACTCAGGATATATCTTGTACAATGTAAAACTATATTTAGTTAATCATAAAGTAACTTAGTTATCTTCATGACTTACAAAATCAGTCAGATTTAAGTACCTGCAATCTATTGTCATCTTCTAGTTTCTTTGACTTATTTTTGAGATCTGTGGACACTGTAGCAAAAGTTGCAGTATGTTGCTCCACTCTCATTTTTAAATTTCTGATGTCGTCTGCCATTTGTAATGTTACCCGTTCTAACTGTTGTTTTGATTGCAAAACTTCATCTAAATCTGTCCGCACATCTTGTAATCTGAAAATATTTATTCATAGTACTGTGGATTCATTATTATTCGTTGGATACCAATATTCATGGATTTCGTTGGTACAGGTGAACCACGAAATAAAATGTTCAACGAATGACAAATTTTCTATAGGCTTGTATGCAGACTTTTGCAAAACCATGAAATCAAGTATCCATGGACATACAATCTGTTCTCAACCCACGAAAATAAATGAATCCACAGTATAGTTACATAAACAAAAAAACTTTACTAATTCTTCTTTAAAGCATGCTGTTATTGCATTGATGTTTTTCAATTTGTGATTCTAGTGAAAAGTTTTCGTCTGTGTTTATTTTCATGTTTGGTGGTTTTTAGATTTTGTATCACACTTTTTTACAATTTTGCTGTCATTGAAACACGGAATTTTGCAATTATCAATAAAGTTTATTCTTTCTTTTTTTGTAAACTTTTTTTCATATGGGCAATTCTTAATGACTACTGAAAATACCATATACTCTAATATGTCACCTTGAAGACTGAACATACCATATATTCTATTATGTCACCTTGAAGACTGAACATACCATATATTCTATTATGTCACCTTGAAGACTGAACATACCATATATTCTATTATGTCACCTTGAAGACTGAACATACCATATATTCTATTATGTCACCTTGAAGACTGAACATACCATATATTCTATTATGTCACCTTGAAGACTGAACATACCATATATTCTATTATGTCACCTTGAAGACTGAACATACCATATATTCTATTATGTCACCTTGAAGACTGAACATACCATATATTCTAATATGTCACCTTGAAGACTGAACATACCATATATTCTATTATGTCACCTTGAAGACTGAACATACCATATATTCTATTATGTTACCTTGAAGACTGAACATCTTTTTTGGTGACCAGTTCTTGCTGACTACTTTTTACTGCCTGTTCAACACCTTTCGTATGATTAACAAGTGAACTTAATGCCAACCGTTCATCATCAAGTTTGTGTTCAGCTTCTTTAATTCTTGAACCTAGATGCTGAATAAGTTCATTACTGACTGTGATAGCATTTTCAATATTTCTTCTGGCACTTTGTTCCTCACGTAGCATATCATCATTATGTCGGGTAGAACCTTTTAAGTCACCTTGAAGTCTTAGCACCTCTTCTAACAAAGCACGGTTTGATTTTTCTGACACTGCAACTCGCATTTCTAACTGTCTAATTCTTTCCTCTGGTTCCATGTCTGAGTTATTTCTTATTATTGGACTAGCTTTTCTTTTAAAAACAGGAACCAGTTGGCCATCCATATGTCTAGGTGATATGTCAGGTAAAGATGGATACTTGCTTTGGAACTGTACTGGTGGCCTATGAACAAAAATGTTTAATAATTACAATAAAATACTGAAATGAAAAAAAAGGTACATTTAACTTTAAGTATAGTTTTTGATGAACTGACAGTCTGTCATTGCAGATTATTCAGTACTGAAAAAATAACTTAGACAAAGGCACACTTATGTACAATTTTAGACAGTCTTTTCAGTTTATCCAGAAATAAAAAAAAAATATATATACATAGACACACTTATATATAATTTAAGATAAACTATCCTTGCAGTTTATGCACTAAATAGATAATTACCTAGACATAGCTGATATAAGAACATGAATAACATGAGAGTATTCATGAAACTACTGAAAAATGGAAAGTTAACAACAGAAAAAAGAAATAAGCAAATTCGTCATAGATTCTTCAGTACCATAATGCAATAAATGAATACTTAATTTCTTAAAGAGCTAATTATTCTTTCATTTTGTTCCAATGATTAAAAATATAAATTACTTTAATCTCTGATGACCAGATCATTTTGTTCATATTTTGCTTATGGGGGTGAGTTTAAACCAACAGTATAATTGGGCAAATTTGCTATTGCATATGGAGAGTCATAATGTTTCCAACAGCAATTCTTATAGTGTTTTGTGTATTTTAAATCGAAAACCTACAAATACTTCTAAATTAATTATAAATGGTCACACATTGCAAATTTATAATTTCTAAATAATGCATGCCAACTATAAAACAATTCAAATAAAAATTATTGAAATAAAACAAAAAAAAGAATAGCAAACAACAGCTTATCAAATTGTCCTTATAATGCATAAGTCAGAGGCAAAATTATATTGAAATAAATAACTTGAGTTGATATCAAGCGATATCCAATTCTAAAGAGTTGCTAAAGCTATTTCTCTTATGGTGAACATTCTCTGTGTGAAAAAAAAAAGAAAATTCAGCAAAATGTTGTTCATTTCTTTGGCACCTAAGCAGTATGATGTTATTCTAAGGTCCTCTTCCAGTGTCTAAAATTAACATCAGATGTTTTTGAGGTTTTTTTATGCTTCAGATTGGAAGCAAATTTGACAATTAAATAGAAGATTTTCCGATAAAAATGTCAGTGTTTTGTATGTTTGTGAAATCACAGATATCTCCATTGTAATGAAGGAAAAGTAGATCTTTTTGACCTTTGAAGGTCATCATTGACCTAACGAATAGACATTTTTGTTTTTGCGCAGAATATGCCAACCAAATTCACACATTTTTCATATTACTTATTCATGTCACTTTCCATTCAGTGCACTCTGAGAAATATCTCTTCAAGTGAGAAATAGATAACAGGACACAACCATAAGAGAAAAAAAATTAATTATATCATGCTCCATTTTTCAAAATAAAAAATTCATTCACGCCATTAACTATATCTATATCATCAAACAAAATCATAAAAAGCAAAATAAATATCAACCTCTGGAGACTATAAAATATACCTTGGTGTTGACTTAGCTTCTTTCTCCATCCTGTTAATTAATAAACAAATTAAAGAAAATGTTCCAAATCATTGAAATCCATCCTTTTCCATCCTGTCAACCTTTTTGTAACATACATCAAAAGATTAAGAAATTAACACATTAATATATTATGAAGTAACAATTACTGTGCAATTCCCATCTTCATTAAAAGAAATCATTTATGTTATTGGAAACCACTAAACATAGTCATTTCTCGTTAAACAGGATAAGTTGAAAGTCGATAAGTTCCACTCTCTCAACCAACAGTACTAAATGTGCTTCATTGATTTCATAGGCTATAATCACTGAAAAAATATAACTTTTCTTATTGATTTTACATTTGAAAAAGTTATATTTGCATAAGGTCTGAGAAAATTAAAATTTTACTACATTTCAAATAAATTCATCAACTAGAATTCTCACTAAGAGGTGCTTATATATTTTCTCATTGTAATGTGACTTTTATGATTTTGAGACATATATATATATTAAAAAGATGTGCTGTTGGAAATTGGGGCCTTGGGACTTATTGGTTTAGACATTGCACATGAATCAATGAAAATTATCCCTTTTGTACCATTTGTCTGCCTCTTGTTACAGTGTAAACTGTCTAGAGACTAAGAGTGTTAATAAAAGTTGAAGTTGAAGTTTGGTATTGCATGCATTTAATTTCTTTGACATTTGTAATCCGTTATATAATTATAAGAATTCATTTTATCCAACACAAAATATTTCAAAATAAGCTGATACTAAGACTTAGGCTATACATAGCAAGTATATATAATACAATTCTTAAAGTAGGACATAGTACTTTTAGGGAAATCTACAAGTCCAAGATATCATGCATAAATGTGTTTATATAATCTATCAGATATATTTTAAGTATAATCAGGTAAAATTGCCTAATTCCTACCAAACGTTTTCTTGTATCTTAGATAAATGTAATAATTTTAACAGTGCAAGATCATAAACCTATAAAATTAGAAATTTAAATGTCTAAAACCTGACAATTTTCAATGTTTACACATCAATTATTTCTTGTTGAACATATAAAGATCTTACCGTAATGTTATATGTCTAATACATAAGTAAACATATAAAACGTTTTGAATTTGTCATCCCTTTTTCATGAAATTTATTAGAGTATAATATGAATGTTGTTTGACAATATACATTTTTTTCAATTGTAATCTTTTTCTTTTTGATACAATATAAAATTACATGATCATATTTAGTTTTTATTTGATTCAAAAAGTTCATATTTATTCATAAACATTTAGTTATTTTCCCTTAAAAATAGGTGTAATTTATTTTATTATATTTAACATGTTAGTCAGTAGATCTTAATTGATTCAGTGTAAAAAAACATCATGCCTCTGCTAAAGATAAATTGGCTGTTTTCATTGTTTTTTCTTTATTTTGGCACACTGAATGAAGACAATAAACATTCTTTTAACATGAATATGGACTTTTGTAACCTGTAAAGATTTATTGAAAAATTGTAACAAGCTCCATACAACGGGGCCTACAATGACAATACATATTATATTGGAATCCAGGAAACAAATGTCAAAACTAGCAAACTAAAACAAAAAAGTCTTCTCTTAGCTGCAATTACCCATTCTTAATTCAGAGCATTAATTGATCAAGATTGGAAAAAAAATCGTTCACCAAAAAATAAGCAGAAACATTAATTGAAAAGTTAAACAATTGTATGTTTTTGTTTTATTTTATTTCATTCCAACAGATTCCCATTGGGACCATTTAAGTACTGGTTAGGGATAATGTATAGATTAGAAAAATAAATATCTATTCTTTTACAACAACAGCAAAGAATAAAGTTGCAGCAAGCAATCATGTAATGTTAAAAATCGTATCAATAATTCAATTCTAAAACTTCTGATACTGAATACATTGTAACAATCAACAATTAAACATATTGAAAAATTTCAAGAAAATCAAACGATTACTGGCCAGACATTGATTATCTTATTTCATACCAGAAAACTATTATTTAATTTTCTATAGTGTCTGAAAATGTGTTTCCTTACTACATACATATATATAAGTTTAAATTTCTCTTCAAAATCAGGTAAAAAAATATAACAAACTATTAAATCTATATTTTCTTTTCTAAAATGTTAGTCTGGCAATTAGTGTTGAGCTTGTATATATTGATGGTCAAAATTAACTGGGTTAAAACACCTATTGAGAATCCCCTACAAGGAATTAAGGTGGAATCTGTCTGAATTGAACCTCATATGGATGGGAGAGTTATTTTGGAAAAGACAGGTATTTGGTTTATACAGGTTAAATAACTAAAGAATAGATTCACTGTATGTTCTGATACACAGAGATAACAAGACACCAACCCAACAACAAAAGAAACAAAAGAGGTTGCCAATAGACAAAATACACATACAATTTGTCAAGCTCTAAAACAACTCTTGAAAAGTTAATCAATAAATTGAACAGAAATCTGTCAAATATCTGCCAAAATCAGTTGTTCAAGTAGGTTTCCAGTTATGCTTGGTTCAGTTTAAACATGGTTCATTGTTTATAAAGCAGACCTCTGGCATATAAGAAATAAAACAAAGTCATGTGACCTCCTACATCTATAGTGTTCTCAGTAAGAAAAAATTTGTAAGGTTTCCGCAGAACCCAGTATCTCGCCTACTTTTTCTGTTAATAGCAGGCTCAACAAAAATGAGGAAGTAAATCAATAAAAATATTCCTCTTGATACTATCTTTTGATTGTAAGAAGCTTCTGTCCAAGTTTGGTAAATTCCAGGATAGTTTATGAATCTAATAAATGTTTAAAAACTTTAACTGCAGACAGAATGTAATGTTAACTGGAAGAAAACAAAATTTCCTTCTAGATACTAGCATTTGATCATAAACAAGCTTCTGACCAAGTTTGGTACAAATCCAAAATAGTATAAGAAAGTTATTAAAATTTTAAAAACTTGAACCACAGAGTGAATATGTTGTTTCCTGGCAGAAAATCTAAGTCCATTTAAAAGTAAAATACGGAAAAAATGGATTTATTTTTTTTATAAATTTCCTTCTAGATACTAGCTTTTGATCATAAACAAGCTTCTGTCCAAGTTTGGTACAAATCCAAAATAGTATAAGAAAGTTATTAAAATTTTAAAAACTTTAACCACAGAGTGAATGTAATATTTACCGGCAGAAAAACTAAGTCCATTTATAAGTAAAATATGGAAAAAATGGAATTTCATTTTTACAAAATTTACTTCTGGATACTATCTTATGATCATAAACAAGCTTCTGTCCAAGTTTGGTAGAAATCCAGGATAGTTTAAGAAAGTTATTAAAATTTCAAAAACTTTAACCACAGAGTGAATATTTGTGGACTCCGCCGACGACAACGATGAAGCCGACGGAATGTAGGATCGCTATGTCTCGCTTTTTCGACTAAAGTCGAAGGCTCGACAAAAACACATCATATATGTAATACACATCCTTGTTAAAGAGAACAACATTTTTCTTTTACGCTTCACACTTATTTCAAAATTTCAAACTGACTGCAAAAAATTGCTGTATTTTTTATCTAAATAATCTTACTTCATTATTTAAAAGGCTTATATCTCTCTAATCACTAAATAATGTAAATTATATCTTCTTTGGTTTGTTTTTTCACCTCACATTCTTTAAATTTCCAAATATTAGTATGCTGCAGTTATTTGTGGTTTTTGGTATTAAGAGCAACAAAATTTATTGTTCAAGTGCAAAACATCAACTTCATTCAGTGTTTTATTGGGATGTGCTCCTTTATGAACTAGATAAAGAAATGATGATTACAATAGTCCACACAAAGTTCTATGTCCACATTGCATGCATCATATGGAAAACCAACCCCCATTGTCAGGTTCTTTTTTTTTTAATTTGTCATTAAACATTCTCTTTTATCTATTTTTGTCTTAAAATTAGTACTATGAAGCCTAGCCTTAGCAGCCTAAATGAACTTTGAAAGAAGATATTTAACTTATTTCTGGAATACTATTACACCCACTTATATCTAATCGCTGTATCAAATAATACTTCATTAAACTATGACAGACATGAATTCCTTACTGTGCATGCACAACAGTGTAAATCATTTCTCAGAACTGTTTCCTAATTAAGAACATACAAGCTGAAACTGAATTGTAAAAAAATGAACTTCAGTTCCAGCTTGTAGTTGTTATTGCATTCAGATATGAAGGTGCTTCACTGCAACATGCTCAAAACTGCATCTAGCACACTAGCCATGCCTCTACCCTTACCTTGGAGTTGGAGAAGTGTACTCATTTGACTGGTCATACCATTCTGTCCTAGTGTATGGTCTGGACTTAAAAGTAGCCATTGCACTTAACCCTTAATACCTACATTGATAAAATTTACTAGAAAATTAAATAAGTTATAAATTTTTAATACTCTTAGTAACTGTATCTGTATGAGACTGCATTCAAATTCATAAACTTACTACTACAACTATCGCTTCAAAATTATGTTATAAACCTAGGTTGCATAAAAATGAGAATAGGGTTCCAGAAAGAAATTTGTATGCTGTTGTTCTATCAGGAGCTTTTGTTATATGAATACTCATAGATGGATCCAAGGGGGGTCCTGCCCCCCCCCTCCCCCCTTTTGTGGGAAAAATTTGGTTGGTTATCTAGGGAATCACTGAAGCAGGACTGTAGGGGGCCCCCTCTTATGGCAGTCAGTGCCCCCTCTCCCCCCCCCCCCCCTATAAAAAGTTCTGGATCCGCCACTGAATACCCCAAAAGCATGTGTATGATGGAAAATTATGTCCTATTAGATTTGTACTTCATTTTACCTTATGACTGGTTTACTAATTAAGTGCTAATGATGTAGAATACTTAGGTTCTGATTAGAATATCTGTCTTTCCTTGAAATCAATATAGTATTCATACAATTATTATTATTACTGTTTTTAAAACAGTCGTCAAGCATTAGTTTTTACTACAGACAGTACTATACTA